CCTTGCAATGCCGAGAGGCAGTACCCCTGCATGCCGCCGTACATGCCCATCTTGTGAACGGGTTGGCGGTGGCGTAGTTGTTCCATGGCGACACCTGGTCCGGGCTGGCATTGACCCCCCATCCCCGAGGGACCGTAGACACCGAGAGCCCGCCCGAACCGTCGTTGTAGCTGCCCGTTGCGGAATCCCTCCAGTGCGCGCTCCCGTGCATCGCCGTCGGCAGCGTCTGGGGCATCTGCGCCCTCAACGCCGCCATCTTCTCGTCCTGCATCCGGGCACGACGCTGCTCCTCCTCGAAGCCTTCGCCTCTCCGCATCCTGCTGTTGGGTTTCACGTACAGGGTGTGCGCCGAGCACGTCTGCCATGTTCATGGTCCGGCCGCGGTGCGAGCGAAGGTCGGATCTGCGTGTTCATCTCTCGCTCCCTCGCCTCACGCTCGGCTTGCAGGCGCTTACGCCTCTGGCCGAGCGTTTCCTGTTCTTCGTCGGCGTTCTTGGCAGGGGCTGCCTTCTCCTTCGTCTTGTCTTCGTCCAGATCACCAAATTGACTGAGGAGCTCGACGGAGAACGCTGCAGAGACGGGCCTCGTGCGAGGCAGGTTCGAGTGTTCAGCTTCCTCCTTGGCGCGAAGACGGCGAACCCGCTCAGCCAGCGTCTCTTCTTCGATCTCGGGCTCCTCGGGTTCTTCGATTCGGGGTGCACTGGCTTCGAGATCCAACCGGCTAGCGGACCGTTGCGGCGATGGCATCCGTGAAAAGCGGTTGTTGCTAGCGCCGCCCGGGTTCAGTGTCATCATACTCCGGTGCTTTGAAATAGTCAAAGGCTCGTTGCCTTGTAGGCGGGCTCGTCGCGCGCTGAGGGGCTCATTGTCTTCCATCTCACGGCGTTCCATGAGGCCGATCGGCCGGTTGAGCTCGGCCATGGCGGCGGTGAAATCATTGTTGCCCGCAGCCTTGCCGGCGTAGAGCAAGCCAAGCGGCACGTCTTCATCTTCAGAACTGTGGTCGGGGTTGGCGTCAGGGTCCTCCCAAGCCAGGTTCACGCGGCGCGTCTTGCGCGTCTTGCGCTGTGCCTCGGCAACGGCGTCGAGCTCCAGCAGGGTCGAATGCATACCCCCGGGGACAGCTTGGTGTTGGTTGCGCGTCCGCAGCTTCTGCTCGTGCTTTCGAAGCTGCAGTTCGGCCAACAGGGTCGTAGGAGGGCCCGCGTAGAGTTCCTCCTCGTCCTCGGACACGAATTCCTCTTCGTCGTCTCTGCGGTGCTCGCCATCGACACTGCCAGAGAGCGCTTGGCTCTCGTCCTCGTCGCCACGTTCTCTTGTTCTATTGCTATGAATGGAAACGCCAGTCATAGTGTTTCTCCGATCAGAGGAACCATCATTGCTTGATTTGCCAAACGGCATAAACGAACCACGTTTCTTGCCATCAGCATGCTCTGGTTGCAGCAGGGCAGACGACTTGCGGTTCGCCTTCTTCTCACGACCATACACCTCCCGACCAAGCTTGCCTGCAAACGCATGATCGGTAAAGGCATCAACAGGGGCATTGGCCGACGCATCAAGGATGCTGTCGAGGGTGTCCATCGCAGAGCCACCTTTCATTTCGACAGTGGGCGGCTCGGGCGGCAATTCGAAAAAGGCGCTGGCACGCAAATGTGGTGGTAGATCCTCCATGTGAGCCGATTTGTGGGCGTCCATTTCGACCGTGCGAGGAGAGCGCTGCCGAGCGGCCGGTGGAGGTTGGGGCATCGGGTCGTAGGGGGATTCAGGCCCTTGTTCGCGGCCGGCCGACCATGAGCGTTGTTCGTGGCTACCATCGAGTAATGATGTCCTGTCATGCGCAGGCTCCACTGGCGATGGCTCCAGGGGAAAGGGGGAGAATGCCTCAGACTCCACGGGGTCAGGCAGCCATAAGGTCGACTGGCGGACGGGGGCTGCGTGCGAGCCTCGCTCCATGTACTCGGCCTGTCCGAGACCTGGGTGACCCATAGCTTGCAGTACTTTAGAGTGCCTGGCGTTGCGGATGGCTGCCTTCGGTTTCCTAGACAGTTTGGGCGGCAGATTGAGCATAGCTGGCACGCGAGCCGGGTAATACATCATCTGCTGGCCCGTCTGCATGTCGAAGTAGGACTGTGGGCGCGGCATGTCCGGTCGGCTGAATGGCTGCTCGCTCTGGGGCTCCGGCATGGGTTCCGGCTCAGGCATCGGTACATCCTCGAAGTAGCCAAAGTCCGGCTCGCAGTGCACGCCGTCAAAGTCTCCAAACGCATCGTTCGGATCGTATGTCATCGTGGACCGCGGCGTCGCTGGGCGGCTTTCCTCAGTCCCCAACTCCTGTTGAGAAGTCCTTTGACTCGTATTGTCGCCCTTCTTGCTGTCACTAGGTGCTCCCGTGGCCAGGGCATTATCCAGCAGTTTGTGGAAGGCCTCTGTGCTTGCGTCGCCGTGGTACACATCTCCCGATGGCTTCGTGCCATTTCCGTTCTTCTCTTCGTGTTCGTTGTGCGCTGGTAATTGCTCAGCTTTATCAAGGGCGTCGTTGGTCAGTGTTGTGGGCTCCGTCTCGGCGATTTCGGTCAGCGACATCTTGGTTGATCGCGCGCTGCGAGTGGACGATTTTCCTGGGCCGTTCCTTGACACAAACGCATCCACGTCAAAGTCGGGACGACCGTTGGACGTTTTTGAGGCGGACCGCAGACGGCTCGTGAGGGAATGGTTGGGCGACATTACGTATCCTGCAGGGGAGTAACCGCCGTATCTCGCTGCGTTGTTGACTTCGACAATATTGCTTGCCGATGATATATGACGAGCGAGCGAAGGGGGTGCCGGTGGGTGGGCTGCCGTCAAGAGGCGGAGAGGGGCCTTCGGGAGAGGATGCTGATGCGAAGGCAGGGATTGGAGGCGGCCAAGATGGACGATCTTCGACTGTCGCTTCGCTTCAATTCGCAGTGCAAGTCTCGAATGGCGTCCTCGATCGAACTGGTCATGGACAGCCGCTCGGCCGTCTTTTCGAGAGTGGGCAATATTGCCAGTGTAGGCGCCAGAGCGGGTGGTGAGGTCAGGACGGATGGCAAACAGTAAACTTGTC